ATGGTATGTAATTACGTATCATATATGTTTTGGATCACGATTGAGTCTAATAAATAATTAATAATACTCGGTTTGAGATTTTCCCTCAGCGGCACTCATTTAAGTCATATATATTAATTGACTTACTAAACTTGGACTTTGATTAAAAAAGTAATAAGTTCGATAACTTTATATGAGCAATTTGATCCAAATAACCTGGTTATTAGTTGATGACTTGGGGCATCTAAATGACCAGATCATTGTCACGCAATGATATTTAATGTATACTATTCCCTATGAAATAGTCTTGTAGTTAAGAGAGTTAAGAGGATGAATGATAAAATTGATTATTATATAAAAAAAATTGAATAAATGCATTTTCTAATCCAAATCCATTATATAATATTTTATGAAGTTGCATCTATTCACAAATTAGAATGGTTAATAAAATAACTCCGATTAATAAACTTTGCAGGTAATTCATTCATCATTTATCTATCATAGAGTTTGGAACCGGATTTATTTTTTTTTTCATATGGTAAAACCGATTAAAACCGGTTTTAACATATGAAAAATAAAGCCGGTTCCAAACTCTAATTTATCATTCATCACTCTTGAACTAACCTATCTTAGGACAAGATAACGATAATACGTACAAAGTTAAAGAACTGAAATTATGGTTATGTACTTACATAATTTGTTCTTATTTTGTGTTATAAAATACAAAGACGAATTTTATACGTCATTGTTTTGATATACGTAGTGTATCGGTAAGCGTAAAAAAAAGGTAGATTAGTCATGTCAGAAAAATTGTCAGTGATGGTATACAAGCCACTATTTCTGTATTTGGGCTACGTATTAATTTTACGTACGTACGTACGTACGTACGTATAATCTGGGCTTCAAAAAAGTTTTTATAAAAAATCCTCAAGAACTTTTTTAGATCCCGAATAATAAGTATAAAATTAATAGCTTGAATATGGGAATATAGTCCGAATGGCTTGTAGTTCACGCATCGCCAGTTTTTTGTGACATGACTAATTTACCTTAAAGAAAAAGGGATTTCATCTTTTATTTTGTAAATAATAATAGGCTAAATAGCGGTAGGCTAAATAGGCATTTTCTTTTTTGAATCCCAGAAACCTTTAATAAGCTTTTTTATAATAAATAGTTGTACATATGCACTGACATGTACGTACGTAGAAATAAACTTTACTATTTTTAGAAACTCATATATGGTTAAATGTCTTAAAATTTTATTAATAAAAAATGGTTTTATTTTCAATTAATATATATATATAGTTAGATGATTAACATAACTATGGAGTTCATCAGTACATTAATCAATATACAGTTATATATAGTGTCTTTACACGTGAATGTAAATATTTGAAATTAGTAAATTATCGTTATCTGAAATTTGGTTTGGTAACGGTAATTAATTAAAAAAAAAGAAAAAAAAAATGCAAATATAATAAATCCAATAAATTCATACTGGATCAAAACAAGTTTAAAGAACTGGCTTTTTGACATTTAAATTTTTTCTTTGATAAAACAATATTTCAATTATTCAGATTTACAAAGAACTTGTTTGATTATCCGATTTGAGCAAAGAAAAGTCAATCCTTATTTATAGTTACACGAATTGCATTATCGGCGGTGCAAATCGAGTACGTTACACGATATTCTATTAATTAATTATTTTTGGTTTTCAAAGATGCACTCAAAAGTGACGTTGCCCTGCATTGTGTCATATTTGTGAACGGCTTTGAAACCTTTCACTAGATATTGAGTTAGTTTTTTTTTTCTTTTCTTTTTAATATTGGGTCACATAAAACTCTTTATAGACTTCTGATTATGCACCGATAAAAAATTTGGCCAGTTCTTTTTATGGACAACACAGTTGGCCAGAAAGATAGTCAGGGCAATGTTGCTGAAGAGGAGGTAGTTTCATGTAAAAACGAACCAGAAAATATAAAGGAAGTTGTTAAGGGGACTGAAGGAAAGGACTCGGCTACTGGTAATACTTACTCATTAATAGAAACAATTTCAATGCAAAAAGAAGACATGGGTGGCACCAGTCAAAGTAGCACAACAGAGACTCCAGCAAAAGTGGGCTGCGAACCCGGGCCGTTTGAACCACAACGACAGGATATTGCTTTTTCATCTCCTAAAAATAGTATTATAGACCCACTTGTATCTATTTCTGACTCTACTTCTGATCCATATAAACCAAATAATATGTTTTTTAAGCATGAAAATCATATAGCTTCAGATTCACAAACTTCCTATCATTTAGATTATAGTACTGAAAAAAACAACCTTTCTGTGATCTCTGAGGAAGGAATGATTACTGAAAAAGATTATTCCGGTCCTTCTGGAAAACCCATACCTTTAACTGTATTATCTTCTAGCATGAACTCCTCTAAAATTGTGACACCAAAACAAATCGTTCGAATAGAAAGAGATTATACTCGTGGTGAAATGTGTCAATTTCAATCTGCTTTTCCATTAGAAATTGACGGGCGGGTAATTTTTAAATAATTTAAATGTTGTTTTTTTTTACAAATTAAATTTAAATTTATTTACAATATTTTCTTCATACATATACATATACATATACATATACACATATATACACATATATATACATTTTTTTTTTAATTTTATAGGTAAATCCAAGACAATTTCAACAAACAATCAATAGGTTAAATGAACTTTTGGTAAAAGCTTTTAATCCAAAGTATAATTGGTTTGATAATTGTTTAGCATGTGTAACAATATACGTATCAACTCTATGTATGCGTTCACATTATGAGAAAGTAAGATGAATTGGGTATAATAAATGTGGTTATAATAAAAGTTAGTCTATATATTAACTTTTTTTAATATAGACAATGGAAGAAATATGCGTATTTTTAGACAGTGAAAATCTGACTTTATACAATTCAAACGGTTTAAATTTCCGTGATCCAAGAAAATCTTCCTTTTTATTTGTATCCTTTTTGTATCAACTATTAATTATTAATCTTCGAATGTAGTTTTACTAAATTATATTATTCTTAACTCTTTATATCTTACAGCTTGAACTTGAATTATATTAATAGCATTGATTTTCTAAAAGTGAAAAAAAAGTGAAGTAATTTATTTTCTTTGAAAGTTATAAAAAAAATATGTTGCTTAAATTAGCAACAATATAAATGTGTTAGCTAGTGAATTATCGATTTTCTTGTATTTATTTATTTCACTTTATTTATTTATTTATTTTTAAAAATGGACATTTATCGTAATATGTAAAATAATTATTTGTTAATTGGATGTTCTAAAAATATTTTAATCTAAAAAGTTTATAAAAAGGTTATATTGAAAATATTAATCTGAAAAGGTTTATTTTGCATAAATCAATTTTAGTTATAATTAAAATTTATTCAATATTTTTTATTACATACTTTCACAATGTTGATCACAAAATAATCTTTTGTATATTGTATATTGTATTTTATTTGAGGTCAATCTTAATTATCAAGTTATACAAATAATAAGTAACCAATATCAAAAAAAAAAAAAGGTCTAAAATAGTTCCTAATTATTAAGCAGGAAAATGCTATATTTACAAACTTATAGGTTAGTATTTAAAGAAATAAATTATTTTACAGAACAACGTCTTAATTAGGTCATGCAAAGTTAATTTCTATATAACCCGGCCAGATCTGTTTCAAAGAAAAATTTTATTACAGCTAGACATTTAACAGTGCACACCTTCTCTAAATACACACTTATTCTGGTCTAAATATAATTTAACCTCTATAAATGCACTTTTTCTTATTCTCTAAATGCATGTTGTAAAGTGTGGTCTCAAAGGCGTGCACTTAGAGGTCTGACTGCATAAAAAAAAAAAAACTTGACCAAAAGTTTTTATATTTTCTAGGAAAAAAAGCCAGCCGGGTAGATCATTTAAAATTCATATATGTGAAACAATTAACATTGTATGGCCCTAAAGAAATTAGAGTATAAAAAAAAAAAAAGAAAAAACTATAAATACAGAAAGATATATATAGATATATATACTAATTTCAAAAGCTTATAAATCAAATAATTGTTTAAAAAAGGTCTTAAATAATCCCATTTTATCGTTGTTACACATAAAGTCCTTTAAAAAATTATAGCAATGTTTACCTATTTACGAGGCAATGTAATGCTATCAGTAGGTAATTCTACTTCATTATCTCCATCAGGCGAAAAGAAAAAGTTTCCATCTTTTTCGCTTAAATTATTCACTCTATAATCTGATTCTTCAGTATTATCACTGTATGTAGTTTCAGATGCCTCGGAAGATGATGAGTTCGACTGAGTACCAGATGAATATGGCTGCTGAATCAATGTAGAATAATTTGAAAATCCCAATGAAACATTGCTCTTATTATTCAATGTTGTGAATTTTGACGCTGCTATGGTAGGAATATTATTTGCAATGTGAATATGGTATGCATCCTCAAAAGATAAAGGTGTTGTAGCTAAATTATGTTATAAATATTTATAAATATTTAAAATGAATTTAACCAAATGAAACTTATAAAATATAAATATGTAACTTTTTAACTTACACACATCATCCGTAGTCTTTGAACTTGTGTATCCATTAGAGATACCGTTTGACATACGGTCTCTAGATTTAATGTTAACGGCAGAAAGTGTCGGACTAGATGATGTAAAATCAAGTGAAGTACACATTGCTGTTGATAGATTTGCTGACATATCTCCTGTACCTTTACCAATAGCTTTGCCGGCTGGAATAAGAACCGCTTTACCGGTTCTGATATCATTTCGATATTTATTAATACCTTCTTCATTATTCATCAATCCATTAAATCCATCTAACCCATCACTTGGTTCTATTCTTTCTACAATGTCCCTTCGTATTTCTATCTTTTTGGATCTAGGTACTTCTCCTTTGTTTATAGCATCTTTATAACCAGGCAAAAAAGTTTGAAAAGTAAATTGTGGTGTTGCCCACAATGGTGGAGGCAAGGATATTTTGGAATTGGTGTAAGTTATAATTTCTGCATTTGCAAGCCATTTTTTTTTATCACTTTCTTTTTTAGCTATAGTTTCGTTTTCAATATTACATTGTTTTGGTGCTTCAATGACATTTTTCACTTCTGCCCAAGTAGTGTCGCGAATTAGTTGCCATTCAGCAACATCTTCGTAACTTATGTCCATATCTAGTGAGTTTGCTTTTTTCCTAACAGCACCAGTTGCAATTTCCATTCCCATGCCTACAACACCTGCAGCACTACCGACTAACGCTCTACCAACATTAGCAACTGCTGCTACGTTTCCTACTAATGGTGTATTACCAATCGTAATTATACTATTACCATTATTTGTATCATCTTTGGTTCCTTGATTAAGAGCTTGATCGGGTGTTACTCCCTCAACCCACACACGATGCAGTGTCAATATGCCAGCAGGATGAAAACTCCACAAATCTTGATAACCAATATCATTTTTATTATTATGAGTCTCAAATTCAAGATAATTAGATGTGTTGTTTGAAGTATAATTTTGAGACCATGAATGAGATCTCCTGCGACCGAGTTTTCCATTATTGGAAGCGCCTTCTGGCACAAAATTTAATGATGGTCGTTTTTTACTTTGTCTCCTTGCATGTAAATTTGCAACTAATAATACATTATTTGAGCTTGAACTTGGTATAGAACAATTAGACACAGAAGGCAAAAATTTGACACAAATTCCTGGAGGTTTCCTATGGTAAAAATTAGGAAATACAGATGACAACGCGTTATAATGTAACGAAGGATGCTGTTGTACAGTATACTGTGTATAAAGACCGTTTGAATTTCCGCGGTGTAATTGACTTGGATGTGGTTGATCAATAGGAATTGTATTGGTTTCTGTAGATGGAAAGGAATATTCATAATTATTAATGTGTACATTTGTACCCTGTAAATTACCATCAATAACATCAGTGGTATCTGATGGCAGAGGTGTACGTGGCTTAATACGAATCACAGCTGATTGCGTAGTTAATTTATACTATGATCAAATTTAAACAGTTAGCCTAAAATTATGCAATAATACCATAATTCATAATTTAAAACTTTAATTTACCGATTCATCTACATTATTAACCCATCCTGCGATATGAGAAGGTACATGAGCAGGACCGCCATAAGGATTGATTGCAAATAAATGAATAGTTCCACGCCCACTAGCTACAGCACACCATCTAGAGTCGTCACTCCAACCCACGCCTCCATCTCCAATCATAGCATTTGTATAACCCCTAGATAGTTGATACACATGTTTCAAACTTTTGCCGTTTCTGCCTCGACGACGTTTACCAATAATTTCAAACACATGAAATTGATGACCTTGAACTGATGTCGAAAGCAAAAATGTTCCTGATGGGCTAAATGATAAATATCCAACAGGATTGGTGTGCGGTGAAAAATAAACAATAATATTTGACTGCTTTTTTTGTTCATCGCACGCTATATCAAGATCGCGTATGATTACCTGTTTACATAAACAATAAGTCGATAGAATTCTAAATAACACACGATTATTAACACTAAGCATAGTCACCTACCGCTCCAACAGCACCGTTCTCTTTGTCATTCTCCATACCATTTAAACTTACTCCATTACTATTTTCCCCATTGCTACTTCCAACCCTTGGGTTGTAATAATATCCATTAGATGGACTAGTCTGCGTTGGAAACACATGACCCATCGCATCGGCGTGATTGTTGATATTTATAGGCATAGTGGGTTGCGGTTTTATTGATGCGGAAGTCTGTGGGTTTGAGTTATTAAAGTACGAAGAAAGTGTCTGGTATCCATAATCACCTGTATTAAAGTCATCAAATAGGAGGTTGATATCATAAAGTATTAAAATATTTAAAATATTGAAATATATTAACATACCTAACAATTTTACACCATTAACAACTTCTTTTGCAACACCCTTGGCAACTTGATACTTTTTTCCGGTTGCTCTAATCTCCTCATCGCTGTCACTCATCACATAGCCATCCTTTTTACCATTATTTTCTGGAGGATGGCTTGTTGTTGCATAAGCCAACAATCGAGGTCCTAAGGCGAACACCGGAACCCGGGTAGAAGGATGCGTTGCAACATCTTGCAACGGTGAAAAAGGCAATGGCGCCAGAGTTGGTGACGAAATAACATGAAGTTTTGCCGGATTAACAAGACTCTAATTTAAACGCGGTTGGATTTAGTAATGATCTTGTAAAATAAATAATAAATATAAAAAAATAAAAAATAAAAAATAAATGTATAGAAAATGCGAATATCATACCACAACAATAACTCGTTCATTACAATTTAGGCTGCTTATATTGCCATCATTCTCGAATTCCATTGATTTGATTATTTTATGTGTCTTTAATGAAAAAAATTTTAACACACTTTTGGGTTTTGGGAATGTATCATTTTCTCGCGGTGGTGTCAATATGCAACTGTGAAAAAAAAATAAATAAATAAAAAACAAGTTAAATAAATGGTTTAACAATAAAGTTTGAAATTAAGTAACTTACACTATTCCAATCAATGGACGAACTTCTGCATACTTGTCAAGGACATCTTTAGACGTTTGGCGCGGATTAGGTATTGGCTGTATGAATTGAAGAATAACATAGATTAAACCACTTATTTCAAGATAAAGGATATAAAAAAAAATATTGACCTTTATGCATATAACTTGACCAAGATTTTCTTCGTCTCTAATTGACATAAGTTCGTGAATATTATCAGCACTTGATATATCCCATATCTGGAATCCGTCAGGATATCCCAAAAAAAGAACGGATTGACTATTAGAGCGAAAAAAAAAAATTGTCGATGAAATAATTCAAAGTTGTAACATAAATCAAAATTCTGATTTATACCTTTTTACACTTTTATAAGCATCATTAGAACATATCAGAATTTCATCGAATGCCGCATATGTGATCACATCCCGTTTTTTCTCAAAATGTCCGTCAGGCACAGACTCCATATCGCCGGCAAATTGATGCGATAAATGGCCTTTATGATAATTTATTGGCGATTTAAAGTCATTTGTAGGGTTTGTAGTAGTCTTACGTAACGAGGTAAGAGATGTTGGAATAGAATAAGCTACATAAGAAGACAACTCATATAGAGCTGACGAAATTGATTCCAATGCAGAAGGATCTCTGTTAAAAAATAAAAGAGGTTATACGTTTTGAGTATATTTTCTCGAACAAAATTAAATGATTTACCTCAAAAATTTAGGGTCAGCCTTGACACCACTGACATTAGTAGGTTGAGGAAGAGAAGACATTATCTATAGACAATAGTGAAATAAAGAATGTAAAATAAACAGTATATATTCGATATATGAAATTATAGTTTTTTTTTCTATTTGTGTTATTTAGGAAAAATGTTCTACAATAAAACAAAAAAAGAAAGACTAATATCAAGTTGAATAAAGAGTTATTTTGTAAAACGTAATTTTCGAAGGATTTAGAGTAAAAATACTATATACAAGTTACAATGCTATCTCTATATATGTATGTTATTATATGTATATATTAATGACGATATTCTGTAACCTAAAAATTAAATTAAAAATAATAATATTAAAAACGGTTACTTAAATATTTCTGACAAGGTATTATAGAAGCAAATGTGTGTACAGAAGATGAAAATTTATTTGGTACATGCGTACGCACGTACGTACGTACGTACGTACGTACGTACCGTATACGTATGCTCTATTTTTATCTGTGTCACTAAAAACTACTTTTTTTATAAAGTTATATAAGGATAATCTAATTTATAATCTAAATCTGCTTGAGTTCTTAGATCTAATTATTACAAAATCTACATAATATGGGGTCTTTGCCTTGAAAATCAAGCTATGGGACATAGTAAATCATATGTCATATATTTGATTTTCAAGGCAAAGACCCCATACGTATATAGAAAAAAAAACAATTTATATAAAAAGTATTACGTATAGCAGTTTATATTGTATATACTATATTACAGTTTATCCTATCAAAACCAATAGCCTGTTAAAACTACCGTACCGCACTGCCTTTAATACCTGGGTCTTATCCAAGTGTATTATTATACATGGCAATATACCCATGGGTACTTAACCAAGAGTGGGTACACAAGCTGGGGGTACTGTAACATGGTTGTATTATGCTTCAATAATTTTCAATTAAAATCTATTAAATCTTAATACCCAGATCTTATACCCGGATCTTATACAATTTTTTCGAGATTTTTTTTTTATAATGTATCCGGGTATTATTTGAAGTGGGGTATTAAATGGGGGTACCAAAGGCAGTGCGGTACGGTATAAAAAATCAATCTATTATACGTATGTGTTTTTGATATACAGTCGTTCTAAATATATATTACAGAGTATCAGTGTCTTTTAGAAATAAAGCGCCATATGATCTGTTCTAGCATTCTAAAGTATCACTAGACTATTGTATATAGATAGTAATACTGTAAATTAATAAAGTACTGTATACAAAAAATTATATTGTAAAGTAATAGAGTATATAAAAATTATACTATAAAGTAATAGGGTTTGCAAAAAATAACTAAATAAAAATAAATATAATAGAATAAAATTCTAAGAGCTAAAATTTTTAAAAATCTTAATATATTATTTAAAATATATAAAATAAATGGGAGTAGAATTGGATGCGGATTCTGATTCTTTTCACTTATAGAGTAGTTTAATAGCAATATTCTATCAAAATATGAATATTCTGATCATAAGTATTGGTCTTGATTATAGCATAAGTGGTGCAAAAAAATATTTTTGAGCACTATTAGAGGCAATCAAGTAAATATTGGATAACTATGTTAGATTAATATAATTTGTAATTCTAGATAATAAAATAAATAATTATATAATATACAGTATATTGAATATTGCTATTTATTACTAGTAGCAATATCACTGGAGATACTATATCTCAAAAACCTAGTAGCTAACACATGTCAAAGGTACTAAGTAAAAATATTCAGAACCTCCAAAAATCTAACTTTAAGAAAGATTTGGGCCCTTATACCTAACCTTAACCTTGGTTTAAAATTGCATTCTATCTTTAAATTTGATAAAAAAAATAGAAGGTAGTAGTATTACCACTAGTGATAAATGCTAAAATCCTATATATTTTATATATAGTCAAACCTTTCTAAATGCAACCTCCATAAATACAATACCTTTCTAAATGTATATTTTTGTCTTGGTTGTATAAAATCATTAGTGCTAAATGCATGCTTTATATTTTGTAAATGTAAGTTTATTCAAAAGATTTTTTATACTAACCTTTCTAAATGCATATAGCTAATCAAAATTTAGTATTAAATTATATTACACAAATCTGCAGACCAAATATTAAAAACTGCAATTTGATTGGCTCTTATTAAATGCAAAATTTCCTAAATATATAGTTTCAACTGGTCTGTACACTCCCTTGCCATTGATCACTGGAATTCCCAAAATTATATATAATCGATAGTCATGACTCACGTTATATAATAATTTTTTTTAGGACAAATCTCTTACTATAAGTATACAAATTTTTTTTTTACAGTTGCGCCAGATGCCGGTCTATTTGACCTTTTTTTATTTTTTTTTAGAAATTTTTTTTTTTTTTATAATGAAAGAAAGGAAACAACTTACTGAGGAACAATATGCTCAAATTGTTGGTGCTTGGCGGAGTGGTGTGCAGCCAGCAAAGATCACACGAATCTTAAACTTACCAAAAAGTATCATCTATGATGTTGTTTCTTATTACAAAAAAAAAGGAAAAATAGCACTAATTCCTCACCCTGGGACAGCCTCTAAAATAACTAACCATGGTTTCTGCCACCTTATACGCCTGTTGAAAGAAGATAGAAAAGTTAGTTTGAATGTTTTGACAAATAAATTTGTCAAATTAATGTCTATCGAGGTGTCTACACATACCATACAACGCCACCTTCATAAAGAAGGGTTTTATAGTCAGGTTGAAAAGAGAAAACTGTTCGTGGATGAAGCCTCTCGCTTGTATTGTTTAAAATGGGCTGAAAATCAAGAACGTTGGAATAGAAGTGAAGAAATGTTATTTGAAGTAATGAATCACGGTTTGAAGTGTTTGAAGGTGATGGTCGTATATATGTTTGGAGGAAACCAAAGGAAAAATACGATATTAAATGTTTGGTTCCTATGTTTAGGTCGGGAAGAAAAGGTGTAATGGTTTGGGGGTGTTTTAGTTACTATGGTCCTGGACCTTTGGTTCGCATTTTTGGCAGAATGAATTCAAAGAACTATACTGAGATTCTTCACGATTGTTTATTACCTTTTTTAGAAGGTTTAGAAGAGATTGTTGAGAAAAAAACTATCTATTCCAAGATGACAATGCGAAAATTCATACTTCAACGTTCTCCACAAATTGGTTTAAAGAAAATGAAATCGATCGACTTTTCTGGCCGTCATACAGTCCTGACCTCAATTCCATTGAACATTTTTAGAACAAATTAGAATGTAAGGTTCGTAAGCATATTCCTTTGCCAAGTAATGAGTCAGAATTATTTACTTTGCTGCAGAAGGAATAGTTTAATATTGATGGTTCGATTTTTAAAATTCTTGTGAAAAGTATGCCTTGTCATATTTGTGCTGTGATTAATGCCAATGGATACCCTACGAGGTATTAATATCTGTAAATAAAAGTTTTTTATTTTTGTTATTAAATAAAAAAAAATTGACCCAAATTATTAAGTAGGTCGTTGAGAAATTGCAGTTGTAAAAACTTGTAAAAAAAATGATCGATGTTGTATAATTATAAAATTCTGGTGATCAATGGCAGAGGAGTATATATATTGCATTTAGAGAGATTAGACTATACTTAATAAAGTTTTATTAGTTTTTCTTGCTAAATTAAAAAAAAATTCAAAAATAAATATATATAAATGATCTTTATTTACATTCTATATATATATGAGCTAAATGCTAAAAAAAGAGCCAAAATTGACAAAAATAAAAATCTTTGAAAAATTAATTTTTTATTAAAAATCTTATAATAAATTATCCCTTAAACTGTAGGCTTTTCCAAGCAAATTTTTTTGGAAAATTATCATAAATATTGTTATGATCTACTTTTTTTAAATTTTAATATATTTAAATAAAATTTTTTTATTTTTTTTTTTATTTTTTTTTTAACCTTCGCAATATTGCGAGAAGGCGGATTTTTATTAGGTATTTAGATAATACATTCTTGGTTACCCTATCCTGTACCATCCACCACAATCACGCTGTTCCATAACCTCATGTTGCTTCATAACCTATAGCAGAAGTATTCTCCAGCTGTTTTGTTCTTACCAGTTTTTCCTAACGTTTTAACTATACTATAGATCTAAACTGAAGACCACCCAGATTGACATCTGCTATACTACTTGTACTCTAATTCTATAAATAACCCAGTAGGGTTCTCATACTACCGGGTTGCCCTAGGG